AGACCATGCCACGTCTAAGTAAAATGTAAAAGCAAAAGTATTCAACTTCACCGCTGCCACAGCAGCTGTAAGAACAATCGATGCACTAAAAGCAAACAAAATCACAGAACTTTTTTATCCTGTGTTTGTAGAGTTAGAAAATCTCCCATTATCTGAACCAGATTTATTCCGGCAGAAAAGTTGCAAGTGCTATCAGTGATGATGATCATCATCGTCGTGTCCATCAGGAGGTCCTCCAGGGCCAACCACCTTCAACTGTTGCATAGAATTAAAAAAACATTATTATGAGTAAAAGCTTAAGAAATTAAGGTTCACATGGGTAACAATTGATGGCTAGAATTAGATGATTTACAGCTCAGATTCCGCTCTCAAAAATTGAAAAAAAGAAAAAGAAGAAGAGGGAAGTCACCCATAAAGGAATCTGAAATTTCCCCTGATTAAGGAGTGGCGTGGCCTTTCACCAGGGGGGAGCTAGTAAGGGCCCAATAACCCCCTTCATTGGAAAACTACATTGTTTATACATGGTTAAAATTATTTTTTATATATGTACAGCAGATGTTGAACACCCTTTGGCTTCTTCATATTTTGAAACCCCTGGCTCCACCACTGCCTTTCAAATCTATAAAAATTCCTAACAGCCTAGAACATGATGATATGACCCAAGAATACAGAAATTCAGTACTTACCACAAAATACTGTGCGCATACTGGGCATTCATGTGGCTTGCCCTTTTCTAGCCAGAACCAAACAACATCATGTTCGTCTTCTGTTAAAGTAGAAAATGACAGAGAAAATTAAGTGAACTTCCTAAAGGAAAAAATCAGTAATAGAGACATTTTGTATCTGACTCTGTAAAGAAAACTTACCGCCTTCATCTCCTGGACATCCTACAATTCTTTTGTCGTAGTAGGATTCAACAACAGCTGGTGCTTCCTACATTTGTAATATATTCAAAATATTTTATCATGTTACCATACATCTAATTGGAAAGATAAACTTATTACTGTAGTAGCTTATATCAATCTAAAGAATGTCCTCACATAATCTTTTGTTTTTTGATGATTAATAATTCTTTATCAATAAATAATTCTTTATCCTGAATCATACATAAAAAGCAACAGCAGTCCACGTCGAAATTAAATTTTTCTGTAGACTCAAAAGCACACAATATTTTTTATATTAGCAGATCTCACCACCGACAATCATAGAATAATTACATTTGAGTGTTTTAAAATGTAAAACACAAGTCAAGGCGAAATTTTTTAGTCGCAACAAATTGGACATTGGAGACCTACGTGCTGAGAGGATCGGATTCAGGGATGAGCTTGACATGACTACATGAGTAGGATCAAAGTTTGACAAGTTTCGAATGATCCACTTTTCTGAAAGGTTTTGAAAAGTGAAGATCAGAGAGCGAAAAACAGAAGAAAAAGTAAATTTGGCAGATAATTAGAGCCTCATGTATACTGTAGAAGTTCTAGAACCTCCATTATGGTATCAGGCTATCAGCGTTCTAGTGAATTTTGAAAGATCTGGTCGAAGTACGCATACTCAGACAAAATGAAGTTCCTTTGTGACAAATCTGAGAATCTGTTGCGACTAGTTTCAGCTACTCACACCAAAGAAAATGATATACCGCATAATTCTACACTCGTGCATGTGCACTTATTCACACATGTACATGTCTTTTTGTTGGTGCAAGATTATGCCTTATCCAAACAAACACTTTTTTCAGAAAAAAAATGACTAGTTACAACCCATCTAAGCTTGACCATGCTTTATTTCCACGTACAAGTGTTGACAGAAGATCATTTTTTTGTTTCCATGTACAAACTAATTACAGAAATTGAAAAGATTTGTACTCCAGCTTAGTAGAATGTGAAAGAACATTGAGAAAGGAACATAAGCACATGAACTAGTGTCATCTAACAGCTAGCATCGAACATGATTCATACAAGGAGATAACATTGACTACTCAAAATTCCATAGCAATAGACATATATGAAGAAGAAGTAAGCAACATTGCACATCAATTAAATAGATTTCTTTTATCATGTTCATGTTCATAATAAGTACAGAAAATGGTCAAAAATATCCTTGAACTATGCAAAATTGAACACAAATGCCCACAGTTAATAGTTTGGTTTTAAAATGCCCATGCCATCAATAGTTTGTTGAGCTATGTACGTTATCCATGATAGCGAGAGGTACCCATCATTACAAGTGCAAACTACTGATTCTATCTTACAAAACAACACGCATCAGATAAGATAAAAGTACTTCATTAACAGACAACAAATGTAACAAAAACAAGAACTAATAACCACACTGACCTTTGTGCCGAAAGGACCCTCAGGAAAGTTAATGGCGAGAAGATCCTTTCCCTAAGCAAACAAAAAATTACACATATAAAAGTATCAGTTATAGTCACAACTACACCTAAATCAATATATTTGAATTACAACTATAAGTACAACCACAGACAAACATATAACATCAAATTCCTAAAGGATGAAGCTCACTCACTTGAATCTCAGCTTCAAGCTCTTCGCGCTCATGACCAGTAGCAATTGGCATTACATCCTCTACTTTCTTAACAACATTCGCTGTTCCACACAACAATAATTTTCATTCTCTTCACAATCCATTCACAACAAAAACTAACCAAATATATTACATGTTTATATATAAATTTGTCTATATAAATATAAAAAATACGTGCGTGTGCGAAAAAATGAGTAAGATCTGATGAAATTAGTGTTACCAGAAGCAGTACTGAAGTGGCGGGCTATGAAAGGAACCGTAGGTCGAAAAGTCGCCGGAGAAGAAGGTAGGGTGGCGGCGGCGGAAAGGCGATTGGATTTAGCGGTAGATCGGAGTGGGCTTAGAGTCCGAACCTGGGAAGAAAGTCTTCTCCACATGATTTTCTTCAAGGAGTTAGGGTTCCGATTCGATCTCAGGTGTGGATGAGATCAATAGTTCCTTTATTACTGTTGCTCTCTCTTCTCCGTTGTTGATGCTTTTTTTTTTTTGAAAGAGAATTTTGGGAGTGGAAAATGAGAGAGCACAGGCCCGAAGCCCATGGGTTGACTCGCTCGTGCGACAATTTCTCACGAGCGTGGATACCTCTTTTGTGAAATGTGAACTTCTAATTTTAACTTAAATTGCTATTAAGTTCAACACCAGAATTTATTCTCTATTTCACTATTTTAAAGAACAATTTTCATATAAAACAAAAAAAATTTATATTTATATAATATAATAAAGTTTCCATAATTGTGCTCCATAATAAACATAAATATGTGTAATTCGCTATATATATACAAAGAAATCAATTGTATATTTCGCTATACATATACATATATAAAAGAAAGTAGTTATATACAAATCAATTGTATAATTTGCGTATGTATAAAACGAGGAAGAGAGAAACACAAAAGAAAAATAGACAGAGAAATATTTATATTGTATAATTTTAAGTGTATAGGATGAAGATATATGTATTTGCATGTGTATAAACAATTTTATCTTACTTTATACAAACAGAAACATAATTAATACATTTTATTTCCGTTTGTATAAGCGATAGAGGCGAGGATGGCGAGCGAGATCTAGGAGAGAAAAGAAAGGGAACGAAAATATAAGTATATATACAATTTTTATCGCTTTATACAAATACAAACGCATTTTTTACACTTGTATATTATATAAAAGTGAGAAGGAACGAGCAAGAAATGGAGCGAGAGAAGGAGAGTGGCGAGCGAGAGTTTGAGGCAGAGAGGTGAATGACAAACAATTTGCTACACGACACAATTAAATCAAAATATGATTATAATATTTAATCTAATTTATTAATTAATTTATCATTATATACAATTTTCCTATTTTAAATCCATTTTTTCGGGTCGAAATGTTTATAACCATTTCTAATTTTTTTCATAATTGCACTTCCTTAGTACTGGACATAAAAGCCCTCCCTTTTTTGGTTCCCAGCTGCAAAAAGGGGCCCATTATTTGTAAGTTTAGTGTGAAAAATAATACCTAATATTGAAAAATTACGTCTTTTTAGGTCTATAAAATTAAAAAGTTATATGAAAATTTGGATTGATTTTCGAAATTCGATATATACTATTTGAAAATAACGTAAAAATATTAAAAACTACAACAGTTGATAATTCTTTTTAAAAAATACATAAAAAAATCAACTGACTCTAAAAAAATCTATTAATGCACATAAATTGAAATTCGAAAAATAACATATATATTAATATCATACAGTATATATAAAAAAATTAAAGCTGTAATTCACCATAATTACGAATCAGAGTTTTTTTTATGTTTTCTGTTAGTTATTTAAACTTGAAAAGTAAAAACAATTTTTGAATATTGCTTCCCAAAAACTATAAAATTCAATTAAAGTTGAATGCTAAAATTTTCTAACAAACTAAAAAATTTAAGTGAGAGAAATGTATTAAAATAAAATAAATAAATTCAAATCACAATAATTAACAACTTAATATATTCATTCCTCCATTCGCGAATGATCAAATAATTCAAACAACTAGGCAATTTAGACTCTCAATTTATTATCAAAGACCTTTATTCTCATTTCTATGATTGACCCAACAACAAGTCTCACTAAATTTAAAAGGGCATCATCAACATTTATCCAACAACAGAACATACATGATCATAAAGAAAATAATTCATAGATAAAATTACTCTCTCCGTCCGATTTTATGTGGCACCATTTTTTTTTGGTCAGTCCAAAAAAAATTTTACATTCCTTATATGGTAAGTATTTAAAGGTATAATTTCTTTTTCACTCTTGTTGGTCCCACTTAATTTTAAGGATAGTACCTAATATATTTATGAGGAGACAGAAGAATGAGTTTATTTTTTTTGAAGGACAATATGGTAAACATTCAGAGTTTTCATTATTTCTTAAACTCCGTGTCCAATCAAATGTTGCCACATAAAATGGGACGGAGGGAATTACATAGTAGACTACAATTTCTTGAAAATGATTGGAGCTCCATATTGTGGACATAGAAATATATGAATAGTAGGAGCATGTTGGTAAGTTGGAGCAAGTTGAAACGAGAAACGCATCAACATCATAGCTATGGCTAATTTAGCTTGTATGATAGCTAAATTTTGTCCAATGCAGTGGCGAGCGCCTAAGCCGAAAGGCATGAAGGCTATGGGGCTTTTCGCTGCTTGAGCGACGCCGCGCTCAAATCTTCCAGGATTAAATTCATTCACATCGTCTCCCCATAATTCTGCATCATGATGGATTCCTATAGTTGGAATAAGTAGCTCTGTCCCTTTAGGCAAATTCAAGTTCCCCAATTTCGTGTCGATTTTGGCACGTCGGAGTATTGCAGCAAGAGGTGGATAGAGCCGGAGGGATTCATTCAAGATCATACCAACCTGACATTACAAAAGCCGAACCATATGAATAATTATAAATGAAACTCATAACTTTAGGGTTGAATTAATTTATGTACTTACTATTTTAAGTTTTGCAATATCGTCCTTAGATGGGGTGTCACGTGCTCCACAGACGTTGAAAACCTCATCACGTGCAAGTTGTTGCCAGTGTGGATTCATGGCTAGTAGAATGGTTGTCCATGTCAGCAAATTTGAGGTTGTATATTTGCCAGCTAAGAACATGGTTTTGCATTCTTCTACAATGTCATCAACTTTGATAGCAGGACTATTTGAATTATTATTACTACTAGCTTTGATAATTACTTCCAACATATCCTTTGGACCTTCCAGCTCCGATTCATCAAACTCTAAACTCTTTTTCCTATGTTCAATTAGCTTCATCAATGAACTTCTAACGTCTCTGTCCAATTTCCAAGAAATTATGTTCTTCTTAGTAGGCAAGAACCTGTCGAAATATAAAGAAATAGGAGTAACACCTTTGGAAATGTTTTGAAATTGAGTACATATTTAAATTTAATGATGACTCGTATATCTAAGGCACAGGGGTTGTTGTCCTTTATAGACGTGGATTTATTATTTAATTCACCTTAGCTTGTTGGATAACGTCAACATCCTGCCTATGAAAAGATGCACAAGGGGACTGGGTGGTCCGAATTAGAGTCATGATCGAATATGATGTTTGTGTGGTGGACTACGTTTACAATTAGTTATAAGTTCTGGAATAATGGTAAAAGTGTGATCGTAACACACCTCCTCTTGCCTAGAAAGGACATTCTTCAATCTATTAAGTGAGTACTTCTAACCTTACAACAGTCGGGGACTGTAAGGGCCCATATTGGATCGAGTCTAACTCTAACACCAGATTTTTTTTTAAAAAAAGCCATTAGGCCTAACTTACATATTAGAAAAGCTAGCTCGAGTCAAAAGTAAAATGATTGTGCAAGTCTTGTAAGTAGGCCAAAGTTCTTGTCTTAATTTCAGGATGAAGGAATACGTACCTAAATGCGGGAATGAAAAGTTGATGAAAAGCATTAGTGGCATAAGCCAATTGTTGTGCTTGCAACTCGAAGATGGCTTTTCCATCTTCATAGCTGCTTCCAAACACCGTATGTGTAACCACCTCTTCAGACAAGCTCAAAAACCATTTTGAAACTTCTATTTCCACCTTGCCATCCTTGCACATTTTTGATGACCATTTGTTCAACATATCCTTCATGCTCTTCCCCATCATAGGAATCATTAGCTGAATAATTTTTTTAAAAAAAATAATTATACGTCAGTCAAGTCAGTGTAAACAAGTTAAACTTATTTTGATAAGAAAGATGGTCCAAACATAACTACTTGCCTTGAGATTTTGTGAGTAAAATATTTGAGTTAATATCTTTCTATGGTGAGCCCATTTTTCTCCTCTGAGATTGGGCAAACCGTCTCCTTCGAGCTTCTTGGCGGATGGAGGTGTTTCAATTTTCTCAAAGTTGTCTGATTTTACAAGCAACATATCCCTAATAAGCGTTGGATCTGAGATGGACACACGAACTGTTGCCCCAAACCACACAACAAATGTTGCACCTGTGCCCAATAAATAATATTAGAGCTTGCTTTCTAGGATTTAAGTTACTACACCATCAATCTTATAACATGTTATTCTAGGTTATATTCACAATCAATGTTGATGTTAAACATTCAAGTTTTATGTATATGTATAGTCATCTCATCGATCTTTGTATGTTGTAGCAGATAACTTGTCTTGCATCAACTCGTATGATATACTATAGTTATCTAGCTACAATCAACTGATCATGCTAGAATTATTCACACACATGGTCAATGCACATAACTAAAACTCAATTTACTACAAATATAAATTCAAATTCAAGCGCAAGTCATTATATAATAGACAGAAAATAGGTATGTAGGTGCTAATAAAAATGATGCGATTAGATATTTATGTTATATAAACTAGGCTACGCTAAGATTTAATTTGCAATTAAACGCTAAACACTCCTTATGCATAACCTAGCCATTGTTCTTAGCCAGCTCAATCAGATCCAAATTAAATAGTGACACAAGAATGTAAAATTATTAAGCATATACCATATAATCAAAAGAAAATTTAGAGCAAGTAGCTAGTGATTAGTACCATATATATTCTTCCAATGATGGTAGAAAGAAAAGACTCTAGGAACAATGTCATGGGATAAAGAGAAGTGCTGAGAAGAAGGAAGTTGTAAATCAGCAATTTCTTTAAGATTTCCCAACAAAAAATTATATTTAGGACCCCTAATCCCTTGCTTCAAAAAATGATTTTGAATTCTCCTTGGTCTAAAATAAAGATTAATCACCACTTTCTGAACAATTAACAAAACAAACCAAAATATAATAAGATAACATAACCAGTAATCTTCCATATGCACCACTAATCAATAATAATTCCTCTAATTCTAGCAGAAATATGGCTCCCTGTATTTTGGTTATAAGAGTATTGAGGTGAATTGGTCCATTTATATATATTTGTTGATTAATATGTATGTCCCATTTGTCCTTTGTAATTAAAAAAAATATTATCTTAATAAGGAAATATAATAAATGGTTCACTAATAGTATCTCAGAATTCTAATAAGATCTGGATATAAGGTAATTAATTCAATATATATCTTATTAAGGATGGCTTGACTTACTTAAAAATCTTTGGAATGTAGAAATAATTGAGGGCTTGGAAAGATTTGGTGTTTAGGAAAAAAAATTGCTCATTTGACTACATAAATGGTTTATGATGAGTAAAATACTTTTTCCATTAATAAAATTAGTCAAATACATAAACAGCTCCTTTGACTTGACCTCAATTTTCATTTTGTCATATGTTCTACCCCTAACTTTCTTTCATTTTAATTAATTTAATTCCATTTTTTTAAAATGTATCATTCAAATACACAATTCTGATTTTTATATTTTTTAATTACTATTTATGTTTTCATTTATAATTTTGTACTTTAGAAATCGATGTATATTTGTTAGTTTTTGTACAAACAAAAAATAAATGAATAAATATTAATTTTTCTAGTTTTTTTAAAAAATGTCTACATATTTTTTGCGTGATAAATAACTAATGATTTTTTTTTACCTATGTCCTTTAGAAAAATGGTTATTATATGGAATAGTAATTAAATAATTTTTTAAAACTGTATTTAACTTTTTTAATAATAAAATTACATACGAATTATGCAAAAATCGAATTTGACCCGAAAATTGGTGACCCGACTTGAAGAGTGGATCAATTTCTGGCCCTTGATTTCTCAAAGGCCATGAACTAGACGACCCTCTTCTCGCGCACACGAACAAAATCGTCTCGAACAGTTCAGTCATCGCGGACGCACGCTACGTTCTTCTGCCATCCACTACTTACCGGCGCAACATCTTCTCTGTGAATCATGAGTAATCTTTTCTGGAAATTCTAATCTCGATTTGGATTTCATTGATGTCGATGCAAAAATGAGCTGAATGTTTTCATTTTGCAGGTTTAGGGAAGAAGATCAGAATAGGATTTGACGGTATGAGCTTAAATCTCAGCATCGCTGTCGAATTCATTAGCATTTCCTTTCATTCATGTGTTATATTAGAAGGTTTTTTCTTTCTTAAATTCAGGATTTGGAAGAATCAATCGGTTTATTACGAGAGGAGCTGCCCAGACGAATGACTCGAAGCTTCACAGTAGAAATGATGCACTGAAGGTATCAATTTTTAGGATATTTTTATTGCATTGTTGGCAGAGTTAAATTGCATGAGTGATTTGTTGTGTCTTTGTTCTATTGATGAACTATAAAGCTCTGTTTGTTTGATTTGAAGCTTTGGGTCATCTCATGTTATTTCGCTTAAAAATCAGACGCATGTGATATCTTCTCTTTCCTGTTTTATGCAACAATGTTTGACTGGACACTTAATTTAAGAAGTTAATTTGATTTTATATTACATAAGTGATAGCGGAGGAGAATATTATTTGATATTTGAGAAAGTTAATTTAAACACTAGACATGTAAAACATATAGTTAGAGTTAAAAACTGAATAGTTAATTGAATTTAAATAATTAAAGTTGTGAAATTGATATAAATGAAATGTTTTCCATTTTGTGGCATCCGTAAATGGAAAGAGTGCTATGAAAAGGCTGAAATGGAAGAAGTACAAATATTGCTTCAGCATAAGCAGGTCCGTAGGAGCAATGGAATTGCCTCCAATTCTTATTTGTATTTAGATAGCTGTACTTATTTTATGCTACATACAGTACAACATCTCCTTCGTTATGATTGAAATCGTAAGTGCTTCTCAATTGACAAGAAGTATAAACTTTGTGTTAAAGGTAGGACGAGTTGGTAAATGTGTAGCTTATACCATCCATCATGCTTTTCTAACCTTGTAATATGATGTGTTTTTTCCAAATTAAGAGGCTACTGAACAATTTAATGAGTTTGTGCAGAGGAGCTTTTCCTTCAATAGTTTCTTTTTACTAATTGTACCTGGAAATGATCTAGAGTTGTTCACAAGTGTTCATATAGAACTTTGCATAGGAGTAAATTACTTCCTAGGAAGATTGTTCTAGAGTAGACTTGGCTTTGTTTCCTCCATTCTCTGTCTCTATTTTAGCATATGAATTCACCAGATGATCATGCTGTGCAAGGGCTCAATTCCAGGTCAAAATAACCTGATTGCTTTACCAAAGCCAGAAAGTCATATAATGCAATGTTTCTTTTCTTAGAACATAAAGTCAATTGATTGGGATCATTTTGTCTATTGTAATACAAACAATTCCTTTATCATGTTGTAGTCTAAAGAGGCAAAACCTTCTAAATAGTTTATCAGTATATTTGAGGTGAGAATACTTCATCTTGGTATCAATTTTCACTGAATAGCCCTTGCTTTCATTTCACAAATGGTAAAGAATATAGAGGATTTTCTTGTTGAGGAAGGGGTAAAATGGGTTGGGGAGTTGAGGTGATATGCCACGTGATGTCTACCTCATTAAAATGTCAGTGCCACATGGTATTGTGTGTCCACCTTGGACAATCATAACGGAGTAGGGTTATATTTTAATCATGTAGATAAAGGGGGTACGGATAGTATAATGTAGGTAAAATTGGTCCTTTTCACATAGTAGAGGGGCAAATTTGACCATTTTTCCTAAAACAAAAGTGGAAAATAAGTAATGATAATAATGACAACAACAAATCTGGAACTTATACTCACAAGTAGATATCACCTATATGAATCTTTTTCTTCCATTATGCCCTATCTTTAGCTAAGTTCGCATTTATGTCAAAGATTTGTAGGTCTTTTGAGACAGCTTTCCAAGCTATATTAGTTCTACATAACAGTTTCACTCACCATAGTTTCATGCCTAATAACCGGTGCCTCTATAGGTCAATGAAGCCATGTCCATACCATCTCAAGTGGCTTTCTCACATTTTATCCTCAATGTGTGCTACTTGCACCTTTTGATGAATGTAATTATTTTTAATTTGATCTAATTTTGTATGACCGTACATCCATATTAGCTTACACATCTCTACAACACTATCTTGTGGAAATGTTGGACATTAGCAACCCAACATTCATTACCATATGACGCTGTATTTCTCAGTCATATGAAGAGAAGAAATGCATCATTTGAGAAAAGTTCTCATAAGGTGAAGTTTGGAAGTAGAACAATTTCTTCTGTCATGTATCCTCAATTAATGCTTCCTTAAATGCTATGTTTCAATTCTCCATTCCAAGAATTAGCTAAAGGTTATGTATTGTAGGTCAATACTACTCTACTAGAACTAATAGGCAGCATAGGATAAGACACACTACACCTAGGAATCAACCAAACATAAACACTGTTCTTTTCTTTCTTTTAGGTGGATCTATCACAAGAACGGAAGAAGGCTAGCATTTCTTTATTTCCCCTCCCGTATATTAATATGACTTGTCTTGCCAATTAGGAGTCTTTCATTCCAACACAATAACAACAACTATGCCACAGTAGTGAAAATGTTGGGGAGGATGACTATAGTTGTCTTCTTGCCAACGACACTTATTCATTTCAACAATGAAGGATAAATTTGCAGAACCAGGAGATACTTGGAGGTCTCATTGAAGCATCCTTTGCATCTATGGTATTCCAATGTATTTGCATTTTCCTGAGGAAGTGCCATAAAACTGAACCTCTCATAAACTTTGTTCTAATTCCAGTGTGACATGCCATAGAATTGCGTCATATACTTGAAATTGCTTTTGACTGTGCCAATATATACTTTATGCCATATATTGCAACAATACTGTCTTTTAGGTGAGCAATTGCCCATCTACAAGGATATCAATTCCATGCATTCCTTGAAGTTGGTTGTTCTTACTGTAGCAAATGGGAAAAAAATGAACGTTAATTTATGATATAACACCACCAAAGAGATGAAACTCTTGCTTTTAGCTCACGAGATGGATAAAATATTGGGATAATTGTATAGAATGACAAACTAATACTATAAAATAAATATAGTAGCTGCCGTTTGATTTATTTGTGCTCCATAACAAACTGTTTGACAGTCCCTCTCTCCCTCATATTCTCGCTCGCCACTCTCCCTCTCTCGCTCGCGTTGGCTCGTCTCTCTTGCTTTATACAATAGAATTGTATAAATTGTGTTTCTAATTGTATAAAGCGAGAGAAAATTGTATATACATATGCAAATAATATATCTCCGTCTTATGCACTTATAATTATACAATAAAAGTATTTTCCTGCCCAAGTCTCTTTTGCCTTTCTCTTTTTCTCGTTTTATACAAATTCAAATTGTATATAATTTCTCTCTTTCTTGTTTTATACAATTCGATTCAATTGTATATTCAATTGTATATATCATGCCCAAATCTCTTTTGCCTTTTTTCCTTTCTCGTTTTATACAAATTCAATTTGTATATAATCGTCCCGTACACTTGTAATTATACAGTTCGTTTTATATACTTCGTTTTATACAATTCTCTGTCCAAGTCTCTTTCTCTTTCTCGTTCTATACAATTCTCTGCCCAAGTCTTTTTTTTTCTCGTTTTATACACTTCGTTTTATACAATTTGCTTCAATTCTATATGTTTAGTGAATTATTCATATACATGTTTGCTATGGAGCGGAATTATGCAAACTTTGCTATAACATACAAATATGAATTTTGTGTTTGCTATATGTGAAAGTTGCCCTAAAATATTTCAAAGTAGCTTTTGTTCATTTGATTTTCATTTCGTTGAACAATTCTTTGCTTATGTTGCGATTAGAAGCTACAGTGATGTTCTGGTAAATCATTAACATTTGCATTGAATGCCTTGTAAAAGCACATAGAATAATTTTCAGCTGATCAAACTATTTCTATTATATATTTTGAAGCGTGG